ACCCTAATATATATATATATATATATATATATATATATATATATATATATATATATATATATATATATATATATATATATATATATATATATATATATATATATATATATATATATATTTATATATATATATATATATTTATATATATATATATACAAATAATATTGCGTACTTTGGTAAGCAATCTGACGTCATACTGAAATAGCCGGCTGCTGGGGGCTTCAGTACATACAACGACTGACAAATAGCCTGACTCGCAGTGGAGTGCTGCTACATCGACTGAGGGTTTGGAATGGGGAAGCAATCGTTTTATTTATCATTCTTCGTTTTTTTCTTCTTCTTTTTCGAAAAAAACGGTTTACCTTAAAGTAAGCACAAAAAGTGAGCAAATGCTTATCAAAACACGCTTTAGTAAGTGTATATATATATATATATATATTTATATATATAAATATATATATATATATATATATATATATATATATATATATATATATATATATATATATATATATATATATATATATATATATATATATATATCAGGCCTTGTTTTAAAGCGTTACGCCTAGAGCGATTTACGTACGCCTTAAGCGATTTTTATGTACGCGTAGAGCTGTTTTGGTTAAGCTACTTTTTATCATTTTTTAACTTTTAAATTAGCGGTAACATTAAATAAGTAATTAATTTTAAAAAAAACCACATTAACTTTTAAATAACAATATGTAAAGATATTTATTAAAAAAAAGAATTTACTTTAAAAATAATTGTTGTAACTTTTCATCGCGATATATCTTTCCTTTTTATAGCAATTAATTTGACGCTAAACTTTTTATCCAAATATTTAGCAACATGAAAAATTGTTTGTCAATCCTTAACTACAAATTTTTTGCAATTTTTTTAATAAAAAGTAGTAATTTTTTAAAGTTTTCAGTAAAAAACTTTAAAAAAATCTATATTCCATATTTATTAATACAGAATATAAATGTTTTTTGTAATATAGATTTTTTAAGAATTTTTTACTGAATTTATAATAAAAAACATTTGCAAAAAAATTTGTAATTAAGGATTGACATTTTTTAATATCTCAAAAAATGTCTTAATATTTTTGTTATCATGATAACAAAAATATCAAGACATTTTTTCGAGATATTAAAAAAAATGTCTTTGCTTTTCTTATTAGTTAAAGGTATATAGATACCTTTACCTTTAAGTTATGCGGGGGAAGGGGGTCGGCACAGAAAAAAAAAATTACCTGTTACTCACAATATTTGAATGAAGACAATTTGTTAAATTTCTTCTGCGTGCGATTCAATAAATTTTTTTCATAAATCAAGTTATATTATAAGGTAAAGAAATCACGAGTAGACTATAACATCCGTTGATGACACTAATATTACGTTGAATATATTTATATAACGGAGGTTTTATTATGGGGCCATCCATAAAGGACGTCACCACTTTTTAGCCAAATTTTGACCCCCTCCCCCCCTTTGTCACCGGTTGTCCTTTTTCCTTATACCCCCCTTGAAAAGGACGTCATAAAATCCTGAACCCCCCCCCCCCCCCCCCTATTTTTAACTCCAAAAAAATTTATTTTTCTCGCAATGATGTTTGAATCTGCTGCTACACCTTTGAAAAATAAAATTAAAAATATTCTCATACATTATCTTCTTAAAAACACATGTTTACGTAGTTTTCCATGTTAATTAAACTAAAATAAAAAATCTATGAAGTGACGTCCTTTTCTGACAACCTCCCCCCCTCCCCTTGGTTTTTTTTGTCCTTTTTAACTTGACCCCCTCCTCCCTCTATTTGGATGATTCAAAACTTATATATATATATATATATATATATATATATATAAGTTTTGAAGTAAAAACTATGAAATAATAAATAACAAATTAATTAAATTAAATTTACTTTAAATTTTTTCAAGATAATCGCTACTCTACCCAATGTACCAATTAATATATCACATCCAGCATTTATATTGAAAATGTTTTTACTAATATCTTTCCCACCATATACACAACAGCATTTTATGTGAGTTTCTTTTGTCAATCGCACAGCATCTCGATGTATTTGAATTGCAAGTTCCCGTGTTGGTGTAAGTATAAGAGCATAAGGTTTTGATAAAACCTGTGCATCTTTAGGTTTTGATAGAACTTTTGCAATAATTGGAATTAAAAAAGCTGCCTGTAATAAAGTAAATTAAAATAAATTTATAGAAAGTAAACTAAAATAGTCAATAATTAATAAAATAATTTTAAAAACTGAAAATAATTTAAGCAGTGTTAATAAATAAGAAAAATATTTTTGTTTTAAAATTATTTACAAAATTAAATGTATTTAATAATAATATTCTTAACTATTAAAAAAAAGTATTTATTGATTTTTAGTAAAACTTAAAAATATAAACACAGTTAAATATTTTGTTAACTTTTTTTAAAGATCTTTTTTTAAATCTTATTTCACTAATGAAATTTGTAATTATATTTAACTTCAACAATTACAAAATAAAAAAATTTGAACATGTAACATGTTGTAAATGTGAGTATGCAAGTGGAAATATGTAAATGTGATATGTAAATATGTGAATATGACACATAAAAGGTCACATATAAATGTGACACAAGATCACATATAAGATCACATATAAGTGCGTGAATGTGACAAAAAAAAAAAAAAAAATCAAAATTTATTTTTATTTGAATTTTTTCTAATTACTATGTTTAAGTTTACATTTAAGTTTGTTTTTAAGTTTGTGTTAGGTTTAAGTTAAGTGTTCAAGTTTTTCTAACTTTACATCAATCAATTAATAGAGGTTAAAATTTTAACTTTGATTTAAAATTTTTTTTAACAAAGCCAAAAAACTACCGTTTTTCCTGAGCCTGTTTGTGCACAAACAACAAGATCTAATCCTTCAATCATAAGTGGGATTGCACTTTTTTGAACAGGTGTTGGCTTTTTGTAGAATAATTTGTCATTAAATATTGAACAAGGTAGTTCTTTTAAAGATTCAAAGTCTGTAATTGGACTAGGTAAATTTGCAATGTTTTGTCCAGATATTTTTACTTGCAATGTATCGTAATTGTTGAAAAAGATTCCTGGTTGACGAACATAGCTGTCATCTGGTAAAGAATTTTCAGACATACACTGACAATCTTCTTTACATATAGCACACCATTCTTGACAAACAAAGCAGTTGCAATCTTTACACTTTAATTGGGGTGTTTCAGATAAGTTTAAACCTAGATAATAATTAAAACAAAATTTAAAATATTTTGCCTGTTCTGAGAATGAAAGGATAAACTCTCAAGCCATTTACTGGCATCACTTCTGAAAAGTAAAAATAAAAGCATAGAAATATAAGTTGATTAGATATCTAGAAAATATCGTAATTATTAACTTTATTAGTTATCTGCAAATTTTACATTATATATAAATTCGAGACCAGACAGAAGATCTGGCTGGTCTCAAACTTGAAATAGGCATTTCAAAATAATTGTCTGTTTCTTTTAGCACGAAACTCGTAGAATCTAAAGAATGCATAAAATATATTGTATATCAAACTAAGGTTATTTTAAATAATAAATTTTAAAATTATCATCTAAAAACAGTTGTTTTAATAACCTATAAAAACGTAAAATCCTAAAATAAAAAAACTTTTTCTCTAAAATGTTTTAGACAAATACAAAAACTTAGGGCACATTCTTTACATTAACTTCCTAGAAAATTTTCCAAAAATCATTACTTCCAACAAGGCTGCAAGTATTAATAGAGTTGGAAGTTACTGGAAGAGAAAAAATGAAGTTTGTAAATCAAGTAAAGATTTACAAACTTCATTTTTGATGACAGACAACTTAAAAGATTGTAAATTATATGAATCAGGAAAACAACATGAAGGGAGTGAAAAGACCTGATGTTCCAGGAAAAAACTAGATGAATAAGAATTTTTAGAGCACTTAGGAACAGTGATAGTAAAAGGATGAAACTTAATTAAATGACGAGTAACACAAAAATGAATTTTAGTAGATGGCACTAGCTCTTTAGAGCAGCGCCCATTATAATATTTATAGAAAAGAGAAAGAGAAGCAACATTACTATGATGTGATAATGGTTAGAGGTTGGTTGCAAGAGCAGGTCCAACTATGTTTACAATGTGTTTTAACACCTTGTCTAAAAAAGAAAGGGTATCATTGAGAGATCTGCTCCAGATATGGCATCAGTATTCCATACAAGGATGGATTTAAGATTTACAGAGATAAAGAATAGAATCCGGAGTAAGAAAGTAGTGAGCACGATAAAAAAGATACAACCTTAGCAGATGCTAAGAGTTAATCCTAGAAGATGAAGATTAGATGACTCATCGAATACATTACCATTCATAAATATAGAAAGATCTAGATTATTGCTATAACAATTAATTTAAAAAATTTGACTTTTATCTGAGTTAAATATATTAAAATATATTAACAAGACGTATTAACTTGTTTATATGTATATGTTAATATACATTATGTGTATTGCAATATACATATTATCCTGTTTATGCCACCCAAAGGACTACACAGATATGAATGTTTTTGATAAATATAAACAGCTTTGCACCAACATAAATATAAAGTTATAACAAACATGAATTTATAACTTATTAAATGTACCTTCAAGTAGTTGTGCAAGTTTTTCAACATCCATTATTCAATTTTCTAAAAAAAAATGCCTGCAATAAAGATACTAAGAACAATACTAATTATTTATAATATAATATTTCAACATTTCAATTATCTTAAATGATTAAATTAAATTTAAAACTGTTAAATAAGATAAAAATGATGGTGAGATGGTTGGTTCTAAAACACAACAATTTTTTGCATCAGAAACGTTTATATCTCTAACATATTAAACAATTCTTTTATTTTATTATACTCAATTAAAATTTCTTAATCATATATTTCTTAATCACTTAATTGTATACTTCTTAATCACTTAATCATATATTTCTTAATCACTTAATCACTTAAAATACTTTAAGTACCTATGAGTATATGATTAATAATCCTATAGGTTTATTAATCATATACTCATAGGTACTTAAAGGGTACGCATATTTATTATTTATTAAACAAGTGTGTAATAGGCTTATAAACTTTTTATAAAGAATTATTTGTTTGTTTTTAGGTGGTTTAAAGTTATTTTTTTAAGAATTATATTAATAGAAAAAATTAATAGAAAATAATTATATCCAATTATAATGACTAATACCATACTAAGATACTAAGTAGAAAATTAAAAAGTAGAAAATTAAAAACAATCAAATTGATTCAAAATTTATAGTGTTATTTATTAAATATTAACTTTTCAATGAATTGCTAAAGTGAAATTATCAATGTCATTAAAATTACTCCAAGTTTAAACTTTGAACATGTGAAAATCTTGTTCAATATTTCAATAAGAAACAATGATAAATGCATCTAGGACAAATCAAAGACAAAACAAAGTGACAACAACATTTTAGGATAATCTAAAATAATAATTTAGTTTTCTTTTAGATTTAGCTTTACTATCTAAGGTTTAAAAAAATAAAATAGTTTAACCATAAATAACATATAAAATAAGATTAAATTTTAAATTTAATCTTATTTTTTTATGTTGAAACAAAAATTTTTAAACAAAAACTAATATCAATTAAATTACTAAATTAAGTAGAAAATATCTTTTTTTTAATTTTAGTAAAATGTAACAATTAATTAATCCCAAAAAATTTATCATTTATAATAGATTATTTAACTAACATCTGTCTTGTATATAAAAAAAAAATCTCGTATAAAAAAAAAATTAATAGATTGTTTCACTTTAATTCAAAATTCGCTCTTTACTCCTTTACTCTATTTCAAAATTGGCTTCTTTACTCTATTTTTCTAAAACATCTAGCTCCGTCACAAGCTTGCCTTCTTTTCACCAATGTTTTAATTTTACACTGGGCTTTCAGAAGTTCATTTCTTAAACTTCTAAAGCGAAAACCACTTCAAATTGATATATCGTTTAACAACAAAATTGTAAGCGACTGATAAACTATTTTTTGTTTAAACTAATTTTTAATTCCAACATATGATTTTTAAAAAATTGTTTTTAATTTAGATTCAAATCTCATCAATGGTAGCACATTTTATCAAATGGTGTAATTCAACTCGTTCAACGTATGCAAAAATTATTTTTGTGTACATGTTTTTTTCTTCCTTATTCAACTTGCATTTTTTTTTCAAATCCCATTTGTAACCTTTTTTTTAATGATTAATGTGCATGGTTCCACACCCGAGTGGTTTGAACAAGTTTCCAAAGTGCTATTCTCTTAGTTAAGAGTAAAATTAAGGATAAATTAAAACAAATTTATACAACCAGATGCCCTTCCTAGCATTAAAAAGTTTTGCAGATCAGAACTGAGCATTTAGTATACTGATTGCTAAGTATGGATCCAGGAGCAAATATGGATCCAGGATCAAGTAAAGTATTATGTAAATAAATAATAAATTTGCTAAAAATATATATAATTTAGGCAGCTATCTACATAGCAGAGTATAGAATACTTGTTAGATATTTTTCAATTAATATTAGTTAGTTTAGCATTAATTTGGTTTTTGTCCTAGCCCTATAAATCATTGGCAGTAGCAAAATATAGTTTACATCATGGCTTCAATAACAAGGTCAAGGGTGACTTGAAGCTGTTTGTAGGGTACAGCCTACTGTACCACATGTTACCAAAAAGTAGGCAGTGTTGTGGCCAAATACAATTGTTTTAGTTTTCGATTCTCAAATACAAATTTAAAAATATTTGTAACCTGTGTTTTCTAAATACATATACAAATATTTGTATTTTAATTTAAGAAAAAATACAAATAATTTTTTTTTAAAACAAATAATCAACATTGTTTATTACTGTTATACATGTTATACATTAAGTATAACAGCTAGTTATACTTAATGTATAACGAGCTGTTTTTTGTTCAAAAATATATTTGTTCTTAATTTTAATGAAAAATTTGATATCCCAAAAATATTTATACTTTAAAAAAAATAACTAAATTTTCTGTTACTTATATTTTTACAGTATTGTTACTTAGATTACTTAAAAACAATTTTAAAAATTATTTTTATTTAAAATAAAAAATAATGTTACAACAAAAAACATAAAATAATAATAAAAAAACAACAAAGCTTTTTTTAATAATAATAAAAAAACAAAGTTTTTTTTTTCAAATAAATGCCGGTCATTTTATTGTTTATAAAACTAGAAATACATTTCAATCAAATAAAAATATTTAAAGTGTTTAATTAAATGCAAATAAAAAAAACAACGACAAAATAGCATATTATTACTAAATAAAAATATGACCCTAATTTGACGCCAACCCTGTAAGCAGTGTGGCATTAGTGATTTAAAACATCACAAATTTTTCTACTAAAAATATGTAACAAGTAATTTACCTATTGCACTTATTATAAGAAATAATAATAGTAACATTTTTACACAAAAAAATTTATAAAACATCAACACTTTTGAACAAATTTTTTAGATTTTGACATGCATATCAAATTTTAAAAAATTTGTCTAAGCGTGTCTCTCATGTTTAACGTGTTATCATTTAACATTTGACATATATCACGACTTTTAACATCAGTTACTTTAAAGCCTTTGTTGAATGAGAACAGATTATATTAATTCAAAACCGATGTTTTTTTGTTTTAATTTTCTCAGAGTTTAACAACATTTCAACTTCTTCAAACGTGATGCTTTTATTTGGAGAATTTGAAAAAAACACGCCAATTTTTTGATGTTTATGTCTTTCTCCGACAAAAAGTTATCCTTTTTGAAAAACAAGTCAATTTTAGTTCAGTCCGACAATAGCTCTTTTTTTTCTTTTTTAATATTAAAATTATTGTAACCATACACTTACTTTAGTTTGAACTTGCTCTTCTAATACACTATTTCAGGCACTCTACACAACCAAATTAATTTTACAACCGAAATAATAAGTTTACAAAAATTTTTAACCAATCAAATATTTCTACGAAACAAAACTCGAGACAAAATTCTTAGAATTGCGATTATGAGCACGAACTATTTTATTATTTGCTAATAATGTTGATCGACGTTTTTTGAATTAGCTGCGTAAATAATAACAACTCCTCATTTTTTTAAATGTTATGACTTTCTATTATTCAGTTTATAACATTATAATATGATTTTTTTATTCTTATGTTTTTTTTTCATTCAGCTTATGTTTTTTTTCATTCAGCTTTTTCAGTACTTTTCTTTAACTACATCCGTACTTTACTTTACTTTTTAACTGTACATTACTCTATTGAAAAACTTTAATTTTAGTTCCGTTGGGATAGTTTTTTTAAGAATTAAACGTTCTTATTTTAATAAAACTTGCTTATAAAAATAATTATTAGATGATTTTAATAACTCTATTGATTTGCATTTATTCCCAAAATGCTCGTCAATGTTGGTTTTAATTCGCTAAATGCTCTTTAAAAAAAAATATATATGACAATAAACTTTATTTTATTAATTCTTATTAACTTTATTTTTTGTTGCTAATTTACTTTATTTATTTAAATACATTTTATTTTATTAATTATTATTGGATAAAACTTTAAAAATTAATTTTTTTTCTAGTTAAAAAAAAATCAGGTTTAAGTTTTAAAAATTAGTTTTTTAGTTTAAAAATTTTTTTTTTTTTTTTTTTTTTTTTTTAGGTGACCACGAAGTCCTTACGGTCTTTTCACGGAGCACCGCGGATGCGTAATTGGAAGTTCACACCTCCTCCCTCACTGATGTCGAAAACTTGTCCAAAGGTAGGGTTTGAACCACGGATCTTTTGTTTCTGAGGCAAGTACAGTGGTGGCCAAAAGTCTTGGAACAAAACATTTAACGACCAAAAAAATTTATTTTTGATCTAAAGTATAAATTTTGAAGGTTTGATGCTTTTGTTTTTACATAGCAATATGTTTATAGTTACATATTTGTATATTGCGCAATTTATTATCTTTTTTTATTATTCATAAGCAATTTATCAGCTATATTATGCCAGAACTTTCACCTAAAAAAAGAGGAATTATTGCTGCATTATATGAACAAGGTTTAGTTCAAAGAGAAATATCTGAAAAGCTTGGTTGTTCATTATCAACTGTAAGTAGAACTTTAAAAAGGCATAAAGAAGAGCCCCAATTAAATTTTACTTCAAAGATGAGATCAGGCAGGCCCAGAGTAACCACCTCAAGAACTGACAAACTTATTGGCCGGATCAGCCATGCAAATCCACGGCTATCTGCACACTAGATTTCAAAAGAAATTTTTATTGAGAAAAAAGTAAGCGACCGAACAGTTAGAAGAAGGCTTTTGGTTGATTTCAAAATGAAGGCATGCAAGCCAGCAAAAAAACCTTTTTTATCATTAAAAAACCTAAAAGATCGAAAAATATTTTGTCAGCGCTACAAAAATTGGACTGGAGAAAATTGGTCTAAAGTTCTTTTTTCTGATGAAACATGTATTAAACAATTTAATGTTACAAACAACTTTGTAAGAAGACCAAAAAACTGTAGATATATGCCAAAATATACAGTTAGCAGTGTCAAGGCTCCTGTTTCTTGTATGGTTTTGGGTGCTATTTCTGCCAAAGGACGTGGGCCATTATGGATAATGCCCAAGAATACCACAATAAACAGCAAAGTCTATTTGGATGTTATGAAGGAGAAGTTGCCACCTTTCAGGCAGATCTTGAACTGCACTTATTTCCAACAGGATGGTGCACCATACCACACAGCCAAAATTATAAAGAAGTGGTTTGCTGATGAAGGAATTCAAACCCTCAAAAATTGGCCTGGGTCATCACCAGATTTTAATGTTATTGAAAATTGTTGGCATTTTATGAAAGTAAAAGTTGCTGCCAAAAAGCCTAGATCCTATAATGATTTAGTTGAAGCAATCAAATCAGTGTGGATCCATGAAATTATACCAGACTATTGTACAAAACTTGTTAACAGCATGCTAAAACGTATCCAAATGGTAACTGACAATAACTATGCTTCCATTAAATATTGAACTTTTATCATGTATGTGCATGTACCTATCATCTTTAAAATTGTTATAAACACTTATTTTATTGAAAAAAAATAAAAAAATTTACTAATAAATTGTTTTTCACACAAATATATTGATTTCATAACATAAAATATGATGTTCCAGGACTTTTGGCCACCACTGTATGTTACGATTGCGCCACGGTTACTCAAAAATAAAATCTACTGAAGAACGAGTTTTGACGACTTTAACAAAAATAGATGATAAAAATAACGGAAAAAACGGTGAGAGAAATTCATTTTAGTGTCTACATTTAAAGATTATTAGGCCTCTTTTCTTTAGTAGGTAGATTTTAGGGATTTTTTTTAGAAAAAAACCATGACCGATATAGTGCGCCTCAGCCCACTGATCTCTATAATAACTGGATAGCGCAACTCTGAACAAAATTTTGAATTTTTTGACGCCAAAATCGCCATATTGGAAAGCCCCAGATATTTGAATTCCCGTAAGCTTTAAGCGACTAATCGCTTTATATTAAATACAATATCAGATTTCAACTAAGTTAAATATACAATAATGAGCGGATTAAAAAAAGATCTCCAAGGTTCAGAGTGTTGCGGTGTGCAAAAAATAAAGGAAAAGAACTTGAGGCTTAAGAAGCAATAGTTCAGGAAGTTCCGATGAGGAATCTGTTGTTAAAAGAAAATTACCTAGAACTTTTCATTTGTATGTATACATTACTAGTCTTAAATGACAATGCTCTCTTTATTAAAGAGAGCAGTGATCATTAAAGACTTTAATATTATAAAAACATTAATATTATAGGTCTATGATAATAATATAGTTATCTACAATAATTCTTATATAGTTATTTTTATAGATTACTTTTTCAGTTTTTCAGTTACTTTTTCTAAATTAACATTCATATATATACATACTAGGGCTGTACCGAATTTCGGCTCCGGCTACTGCTCCGGCTACTGCTCCGGCGGAAATCCGGCCATTTTTACAAATCCGGCCCAAATCCGGCACCGGCAAAATGTTAGCAAATCCGGCATAATTTTGGCCGGATTTCTGAATTTTGGTCAGATATTTATTACATCTTTCTTGCCCGTGATAACATGTATACCTAATATTTGATTTTTACAAATCAATGTTTTTAGTAATTATATAGTCTCTGAACTTTATGCTTGTTTTGGTATCTGTATTTACATTTCTTTACAATTTAATTAGCTAAGCCTAATTTCAAACAACAACGCAACAAAAAATTTTGAAGAGAAGACACACGATATTCTGCAATAATGCAGGTGTAAAGACTATGAAGTCAATCCTAATCAAGTCATTGGATGAGCGTTTTAAAGGCATTTAGGAGAAACCTTTTTATATAGTGGTGACACTGGTTGATCCATAATTGCAAACTAAACTCTTCTCATTACAGGCAACACTTACAATGGTGGTAAAACAGATAATATGATCAACACATATGGTGTTCCCCAGGGATCAATTCTAGGGCCCCTTTTGTTTCTAATTTATGTCAATGACTTGTATAAATTTTCTATTATTTTAAACACGATTTTATTCGCCGATGACACTAATTTATTTTATTCTCATAAAGACATTAATATTTTATTCTTAATAGTTAACAAAGTAATTGATAAACTAACCCAATGGTTTAAATCCAATAAATTATCCTTAAACATTGCTAAAACCAAATGCACATTATTCCATCGTGTTCATAAAAAAGAAAATATTCCATTGAAACTTCCAAATCTTTTTATTGATAAAAATATAATAAAAAGGGAAATGTCTCTAAAATTTTTAGGCGTAATTCTCGATGAAAATATGAGAGAACATATAAGTGTAACTGAGAATAAATTTTCTAAAAATATTGGAATACTGTATAAACCTAAACAGTTCTTAAAACAATATTGTATTAAATACATATACTATTCATTTATACACTGTTACCTAAACTATGTAAACTATGCTAACATTGCTTGGTGCAGCACCAATGTTGCAAAACTAAGTAAACTTCTCTACAAACAAAAACATGCCATTAGGATTATTATAAATGAAAATCGCATCTCTCATACAAAAATACTTTTTAGCAAACTTAATATTCTAAATGTTTTTAAATTAAATCTCTATCATATTCTTATATTCACGTTTAAACTTAATAAAAAAATGGCACCACTTTTTTTCAACTATTTATTTAAAAAAATAAATCATATATACAGCAATTTATAATAATAACTATACTCAATCCAAAACCTATTATTCTGCCACCAATATCTGGAAGAATCAGAAATATATAGACACGCTGATTCACTACAGTGGCAGAGTAACAACATCCCGGAAAAAAAAGTTCTTTAGAACTTCTCTAAATTTTTGAAACATATGGCCTATAGAAAATCTATAGAATTTATATAAAAGGTCTATTAATTTATATAGAAATTGCTATAAAATGTTTAAACAACAAAAATGATGTTTAATAGAAAACAACTGTCACTTGGTGATCTAAATAGTCAACATTGTTGACAATTTTCAGCACCAAGTAGGGATGTACAGGATTTTGGTTCCTGTAGTTTTGCTTCAAAATCCGGCTCCGGCTCCAATTCCGGCCGAATCTGTTAGTAAAAATCCGGCAAATCCGGCTCCGGCCGGATTTGGAAAAATTGAATCCGGTACAGCCCTAATTACCATAGCTAAAATGGTCATTGACGGAAGACATAATTCCAGTTGTTGTTAATGCTTGGGCACAAATTGTGCCCTCAATACTGTGTAACAAATTACGAACAATAGACCCTGCAATGTAGCATAATACAGCTTGTTAAAACATGCTTATGTTTTCCTCGTCTAGTTTAAAAAACAGTGATTGAAGAAATGGCTGCTCATTGAACTCGATAGCTTGTACATCTTGTAGTGGTGTTCTTCAAAGTGACCATTTCAGATTGAAAAGTTGGAGGTCAGATGTACAATCTAAAATTGAAAAGTTTGCATTTCTGCTCGGAGTAATACTATTATGTATTAGTAACCGTCTCATTGAAGATTTAAATTGCACAACTTCTGGATTATTATTAAATCCGTTTTTTCCACGTATGCAAGCAATAGTTAGCTCAAGATGGTCCTGTGATAACTTATAAGTTAATAAATACTTTAATGGTTCAAAGGAAAAGTTAAATAGATCAAGAGCTAAGCTCTGTATACTTAACACATTTGTGACAAGTCCAATAACACATGTTTTACAAAGATGTAAAGCCAATAAAGGTCCATTTTTGCTCTTATCTGTACGTAGAGACAGCAGATATACAATGCTGCTACTAAATGCTTGCATCCAGTATCTACTATTGCTAAGTTTAAGAGGTTGCTTAAAATTTTTTGCAAATGCATTTTTAGAGTTCATAATGTCAAATAAACGATCAAAAATACGCATAAAATTCACAGTACCTTTTGCATCCTCAAACCCTTTCACATTACACTTCATAAAATTCTATTGCATCTGCTACTGATAAACTCAATGTTTGACTGGCAACTTTTACATTCATTTTATGTTGTTGGAAGTGTATATGTCTGTTGCCGAGTTTGTTGCTAAGCGTTAATCCTTCTGTTTTTTGCAGTTGACACAAGAGTACAATGTGTTCCCATTTGATTATATGACCATTATTATCATACAACACACCAATATCAGCAAGAGCATTTCTTGCCAATTTAAGCATATGGCATGCATCTAATGTAGCATAAACAGGCCTGTTAGAAGATGTATTGTAAATCTTAGAGTAAAACTGATCTATTGTCACTCCAAATTTACAACCCAATTGTTGTAAGCAATCCATATTCACTGGACTTCCATCACACGTCAAAGTGTGAACTCTAATGTTACTTGATTCACACTTTTGCAAGCAAGTCTATATAACCAATGCTTTTAAATTATGCCCTGTCAACCTATGAATAAGTTCATAACCAACTGGATATTTCCAATAACTTTGCAAACCAAAAAGCAAAAATACAAGCGCTTCAGTTACGATATTATCATCAGATTCCACACTTATTCCTCCATAATCTACAAACCCAATAAATTTGACAGATTGATTATTATAGATTGTATGTGCTTTAATATGCATAGAATCCATTATTAAAGCTGCATCTCGATACATTACATCATTTTCAGCACGCACTTTCAATTCATCAAACACAGCATTATTAAAACCAGGGTCAAAACTCACAGATGATGTCCAATTGGACAATAAACCTGGTGCAGGCAACTTAAAAACTGTACGCAAATATTCGTAAGCACGAGTTGAATAAAACTGAACAGTTAAAGCGAACTTTTTAACTTCTTCTGAATATCGTCTGCCTGTTTGATCTCTTTTTTAAACATATTAGCTGTAAGTCCTGAAAAACTTTCATTTAAAAAATTTGCTGCGTATTTACAAATCCAGTTTTTGTCTTTAAAAGATTTAATAACCTGAGATAAATTATTAATCTTCCTTGATTTGCGACGCAATTTTTGTTGTAAACACTTAATTTTTTTTCAGAAGCTATTCGTTTTGTGATTCAATAAGCTGTTTCTTATGTTCTGGTTCATGTATATTATTGTCACCTGATGAGCAAGCATTACTTGTGGTACTGGTCTGAAATATTTCTTGCACAATTCTTTTTTTTGGTAACTTACGATGTTTCTTTACATGAAGTAAATGCTTTGGAAAATTGAAAACAGAGGGTATGGCATTGGGACGCAATTTCTTTATTTCATATCCAGGGCGTACTAGAAAATCTTCTGTAAGAAAATGTTCACTACAGACATAATGATGTTTTTTAGGAATAAACTTATATCGTTTCAGTGCAACTAGCCACAACTTGCTTCTATTTTCATCTTTTAATGGAAACCTAAAAATAATATGAAGTATGTAAACATTCAGTTTAACAATTGCTAAAAAACAACTGTGGAGTACATTTTATTGTAATTATACCTCACTTCTATAGCAATTATACCTCACTTGTATTAAAACCTGTTATAGAACATACATGAATAATTATTGTTCTATTATACAATTTATTAAGCTTTATAACAGTTTTCTATACAAGTGAGGTATAACTGCAGGTGCCAACTTTTTTTGTTAAATATAACTATTATTATAATAGTAATACACTAATAACAAAACAATATAAAATAATACATAATATAAAACCAATAATACACAATTAAAAATATGCCTAACAATAACTTATACAACTAATGACAGTAATACACTTTAAGTATAAGTGTATTATTAGTATAGTAAGTATAAGTGTTTCAACATACCTGTGAAACGACACGCCTTGTATAAGTTTTTGCCGATTTGTGCAACCATATGCACAGCACGAAATAACCATATCTCTGCAATTTTTCAGCAAGTAATAGTGGTTCTTAGAAATTAAACTTTTAAAACCTTTCTAAAAACTTAGGTTCAGTTAATATGAAGCTTATATCCCTATGTTGCTCTTTCAGAATTCAAGTTTTTTTGCCGTACTGCAAGGTGGCGGACGTCGGCTTCACTTTTTAATTAAAGTCATGCATCTAGTTATATTATACGTCATTGGTCTATACATTGATCATCCTTCTCCCTCCAGATGGTCTATTCATTGACCATCCTTCTCCTTTCAGATGGTCAATACATTGACTCTCCTTCTCCCTCCAATTGGTCTATTGATGACCATCCTTCTCCCTCCAGATGGCCTATTGATGACCACCCTTCTCCCCCCAGATGGTCTATTGATGACCATCCTTCTCCCTCCAAATGGTCTATTGATGACCATCTTTCTCCGTCCAGATGGTCTATTGATGACCATCGATGCTTGTACATTACATTTTTTATTTATGATTTTGAAATTTCACTATTTTTACTGTTAACTAATTTAAACGGTAAATTTAAAACTAGGTAAAAGCTTAGTTATATCACTGATTAATATATTAATTTGTTGTAAGATTGCTTATATTTACCTACCTACCTAAATTATACATACCTATATTTGAAATAGTTGTTTTAAATAAACAAATTAACTTTTGAAGTTTTTTCCATGTACTTTGTTTCTCTAATACCACAAATATCTGTCACAATATTTATAAAATATAATAATATCTATAATATCACAATATTTATAAAAGTAACAATAACAAATATCACAATATGTGATATATGTCACAATATTTATGTCAAACTTAAAGTTGATACAGCATAACATATAATATATTAATTTGTTAGAGTTAAAAAATGATACCAGTAATTAAAACCAGTGATTAAAAAAAAAGTAATTAAACCAGTAATTAAAAAAAACAATTAAAAAATGAAACCAGTAATTAAAAAATGATACCAGTAATATGCAGATTTACAGTTAAACTGTTAATCAAAATTGCATGCACCAAGTTGTGCTATCAATCGGATTAGGAGTGAATTGGTCTCACCGGCCGCATTAAGAGAATAAAATCCAATAAAATCTTCTCTATTAAGGTCTAATTAAATAACTTTTATTTTTAAATATTTGTTTTTATAGATACAATTTTAATATTTACAAAATTCTAAAAAAACAATTTACAAAAATTCAAATAAATAATAACTCGAAAATTCAAATAAGTTAAACAATTTCTATAAATGAATAATATTTAATAACAAAAATACGGTAAAACAACAATTTTGAGATAAAAATTCATTTTTTGTGTGTATAAATACAAACATTATTAAATATCGACGAGCCACCATGACGGACTACAATTTTTCCAAGAAGCATCTTTTCTCAATTATGTAGCAATTACCCTTATTAACAAGGTCGTTTTCCAAAAAGTTAATTTAGGCGTTTGGCGTGAAATTTCCAGCCCTGGCATGCAATTTAGATTATTAGCACTACGATATTCTTAGGGCCCTATATATCTATAACTACATATCACATCTATATTTATTATGTACATTTTATGAGACTGAATAATCCGCCTAGAGACTAAATTTACGGTTGGTTGCAAGAACTTAATCTGATCCTTTCGTTTTCAAATTTTAAAATAAGATTATTTAATGTAGCTTCCATGGCTTCCGTTTCGGCTACAAGGAGATCAAGTTCGCTTTCCTGAGACAAAAGTTGATTTTTAAGACCTAAAAAAAAACAAAACAAAAATGTACATCTTCTTTTATAATAAAACTTATGATTATATTTATACAGTGCTGGAAAAATATAATTAGAAACTGCTGTTACAAAGGCTTGGGGTGAAATAAGTTCTGATATTACAAAAAAATTAGTGGAATCTATGCCAAAACGTTTGAATGCTATTATAAAACCTAAAAGAGGTCACACAAAATATTAATTCTACCATAAGTCTTCTTAATAAATTATTTATATTATGTGTCCCATTATTTTTTTCCAAAGAATTTAGTCAAAAAATTG